TTTAAACCTAGTTCATGTAAAATAGAAATATTTTATACTTCAATGCAGTATTTACCTTCTTTTGGTCAGCTCCGAAATATCTTTAATCTATATATCTACATATAATCTGTTTTAAATTTTACTTGCAGTTTCATTTGCAAAAACAAAAACAAAAACAAAAACAAACAAAATTTATTCGTTTAGATCAGACTCCCTCAAAGGGAAAAACAGGAATACCATTCATGGTGAAACTATGTTTTTTGCTACTGGCAATACTTTTATGCCATTCTCTGACCAGGTGCCCTATCAGTAATTGCTCTACTATGCAGCAGAGGTGATGCAGAAACAATTCAAATAATCCTCAACTCTGGTGGGACAGCTGTTTGCTGTTGGCTAACTGGTCATTTGGAACTCATAATAAAACCCACATCTCCTTAGCAACAAATTTTCACTTTTTTCCTTTTTATATTTGTGTATGTTGTCCAGTGAAATGCTATCTCTGCAAATGAGCCTGAAAAAAGGAAAAAATACAGTACTAAGAGCTGAATGAAGGTAAATACAAATCATCAGAAATGACCAGATGCACATACTGTCGGCCTACACACCATCACCACCTTCCATCCAACTACTCTGGTTATCATTTTATCTGTAGGTTTATCCACAACATACAGTTGTGTATTCTGCTCACAATCTCTAGAGTCTTACAGAAGTAGATATAGTGACCATAGCAGTTTTCCCCTTTTAAATATAGTTTTACTTTCTGAGCTAATAAATCATTCATTGTTTTGATCATCCCATATACCACATTCCAAGACTTAAAATATACAAAAAAAACAAGATGCTTCAGAAGAATTCTAAAGATTAAAGTCCCTTCTATTTTCAATCCACAGGCTGGCTACTCAATAGCAGGCCTTGAATTAGGGCTTGCTTATCTTAACATTAATAACTTTTTACAATTCTTAAATCCTTTATCTTAAACTTAGTGAGGTTAAACATTCTCTCTCCAAAGCCATTCTCCCACTCCACAAAATGACTACATATGAAAACTTCCACAGAAGTTGCCATCTAGAAGGATACTGCTATGTTCTGAGACACCTATCCTGCCCTAGAAAAAAATACAAATCTACAGTTTAAAAATATAAAGAGCACTGGGTGTTATATGCAACTAATGAATCACTGAACATTATATCAACAATGATGTACTACATGTTGGCCAACTGAAGTTAATTAAAAAATAAAAATGTAAAGTATGCTAAACCAAATAATTCTTCTTTTAGATTTTCCTTTCTTTTTGTCTGCCTTCTCCATATTTGATTCGAGGGTGGCCTTTTCTTTTTTTCTTTCTTTAATAACAAAAGGCTAACACTCCTTCCTTTCACTGGGCTAATCAAACAAAATGCTGTTTTGATTGCATGGAAGGAAAATGCATTCCCTACAAGGATTTAATATCCAAGCAAAAGAATGAAATAGACCACAAAAACAGTATGACCACCTACGTGTGTCCCTCCTGTTTGGTGGGGTGGGAGTGGGGTCAGACAAGCAGGGAAACGAGAGAAAGAAACTGCTGTATTTTGAGGAAATAAACTGATGTAACAAGCATTTTCCTGACCTCAAGGCTGGGGAAGATATAACCCTGCAACCATAATGAATCTACCTGCTTCTAGTTGAACCCCCACCAATACGATAATTGGAATTCCAGCTCACACAGAGCTTTTTCTTCTTTAAGGCAAGACAGCAGCAGGTATTAGAATGGGGAGTGGAGAGGACTCTCAGGAGTCTCAGTGGCTACTGCAGCCCCCAGTGCCCCAACCTGCTTTAGTCACTGCCTACCTTCCTTCTTATCTGAAGCTGAAGTGAAACTCCTGCAGCTGGGGTCAGTGTCTTCTTCCTCTGTGACCTTTGCCAGTCACATTATCAATCCTGCTCCGGGGCAGACAGTCCCTTTTCCCATTATGGAGGCATCCAACAACCCTGTGCACAGCAAAGGGAACAAGAAGCTGCTTCTATTCAGTAAAAGCTGAATAGGACCAGAGAAGAGACAGAAGCCTTTCTACACTCCTCCCCTCTCTTCCAAGAAAGCCCCAGGAGGTGTAAGGCAGTCAGCCCTCTTCCAGAGAGAGCTACCCCTTCTTTGCCTCTAGCCAAATTTCTTTCCACTCATCCACATATTTCTTTTCTTCTCCCCATGTACTGCATATGAATGATTTTCTCCTCTCCTTTTCATGGTTTTCCATGAATATCCATAAAACTAACTTGTTGAAGTAGAGTATACAATTCTAAGGGTAGATTTAAAAAAAAATTCAGCTTTATTGAGGTATAATTGACAATGAAATTGTAAGGTTTTAGAGTATACATCATGGTGATTTGAGATACATATAAATTGTGAAGATTCCCCCCATCTGGTTAGTTAATATATTCATCACTTAACATATTTATCTTCTTTGTGTGTGAGAACATTTAAGTTCTGCTTTTTTAGCAATATCAATTATAAAATGCAATGTTATCGACTATAGTCACCATGTTTTATGTTAGAGCTTCAGACCTCGTTCACCCTATAGCTGAAAGTTTGCTGTTAGGGTGGATTCTATACTTTATGCCTAACCTCCATAGCCCTGGGCCCAGTAATTAGTACATGATAGTCAATCAACGCTTGGAGAATGAAAGAATGAATGCATGTATGCGTAAGTGAATTAATGAATACAGCCAACCAAAGTTCATAATTCTGTTATCCTGAGATTGAAGAGAAAGCTCTTCAGTGATTGACTTTATCTCCCACTCTTCTTTACAACAGTTAACTTCTATTTCAAATAGTTGTCAAGATCCCATACCATTTCCTTTGAAGAAAATTCAAACTGGGGATTTCAATCAGTTTACTCTCCAAACAATTTTGTTTTCAAGTTTAAGCCTTCACACTTGGGAAGGAGCTCTTCAATCTCCTTTAACATGAGGGATGGGATGCTGAGGAAAGGGGAAAAAAAAAATGTACGGGAAGTACTCCCTAAGCAAACAAAACAGGAGAATCCAATACTTTTTAAAAGCTAGCCAGTACATGTAACCACTTTTGCCTTATGAAGAGGAAAAGACAACAAACCTGACTTAAATGAATGATAGCCCTGGCAATAAAATAAAGCAATCCAGAATTATCTGCAAATACATATACCCAACTAATTATATCTCGGAGAACCATTAAAACTAGGGTCATCTTTTCCCCCTATGTGTACAACTTCATAAAAATGTTCTTCATATAGATTGCCAAGCACTGGTCTCTTTAAGACAAAATCAGCCAAAACATAAGCCAGTTTAATCCGGAGGATGCCAGTGCAGACTGAACAAAATACATCTTGAGGAAAGTATATAAAGAGCCTTGGTATATATCCCATCAATGATGATGCTGCCTGCTGATAATGAAATCACTGATGGGTGGCAGCTGAAATCTGACGTCAGCGCTGCCCCTGCTTATCACACAACACCGTGCAAAGAATATAACCTTTCCACCCTCAGTCTGTCATCTGCAAAATGTTGATAATAAATGAGTGTTCACATGAATTCTTCAGTTCATGTTTTCAAGCACTAGGGAATGAGCTCAGCTCCAGCTATTAGTGAGTGAGTCACAATAACTAACTTCCTGCCATCTCACACTCATCATCAATGCTGAATGAAGTGCGACCAGGTAAGTCAATGTAACAGTTGAATGAGGTCCTGAAAAAGTGATCACTTTCTTTGTGCAATAAAGGAGAAGTAAAGAAGCCAGTTTACGAGTTGGCAGTACTATGGTGATACACTTAAGAGGCACAGCTCACTTCGAGAGACAGAGTTTCCACTGGTGAAACTTTAACAATATTGATAGAGTGCCTACTATGTACAGTAAACATCCCAAAATAGACAGAATCCAGATTTTATCATCAAGGTTTGTAGAACCTAGTTTTAGCCATGGCTAGCAAAGGCAGTTATCCTGTTGGAAGAGATATTTAAATTTTTTAAAAGTCAATTTAAGAGCACCTGGGTGGCTCAGTCAGTTGCACATCCACCTTCAGCTCAGCTCATGATCCCAGGGTCCTGGGATGGAGCCCTGCATCAGGCTCCCTGCTCAGCGGGGAGCCTGCCTTCTCCCTCTCCCTCTGTCTACCCCCCTCATGCTCTCTCTTGCTCTCTCTCTCTCTCACATAAATAAATCTTAAAAAAAAAAAAAGTCAATTTAAGTCCTCTAACTTCAATGTAAGTCCTCTAACTTCAGTTTAAGACCCCTGATTGCATGGGTAATTTGCAACAATTAAGCAATTATGTTGGGGATCAGGTAAGATAAACAAAATTTATAATGTCTCATGAAATGTAGTTAGATAGCTCCACATTTGAAATGACCCAGTAATTATAACACTATTTAGCTTAACATTATCAACAGTCAGGATGTGTTAGGTCTATGTACGTGGGGAATAAAGGTCCAGTGGCAGCACCAATACCAAGCAGTTGCTATGGGGAAAGGGAAACTACTGACAATTAAAAAATGTAAAAACCCACAAAACAATCATTCTTTATTGAGGGAGAACTCACTCTAAAGTTCCAGGATACAACATTTCTCTACTTTGTAGATACGCCCTGAGTGGAGGTTATTATGCATACACATACACCATACTACCTACATATACACTGATTTGCTTTCACAGACTATGTATTTGGCTGAGTGACACCAAACAGATGAAATGATAGGCACTATCTCAGTCACATTTGAGAGCCAAATTTACCCAAAAAGCTTTCACTTGAAATACCAAAGGCTGTATAAAAACATATACCAGGGAGCCTAGGTGGCTCAGTCGTTAAGCGTCTGCCTTCGGCTCAGGTCATGATCCCAGGTCCTGGGATGGAGGCTCGCATCAGGCTCCCCGCTCCATGGGAAGCCTGTTTCTCCCTTTCCCACTCCCCCTGCTTGTGTTCCTTCTCTTGCTGTGTCTCCCTCTGTCAAATAAACAAATAAATAAAATCTTCAAAAAAATATAAATAAAAAATAAAAACATATACCTACGTACATTGGAACCACTAAAGATATCTGATTCTTCACATTCACAGCAAAGTAACACTGCTGATTCACTGTCTTCCAAATGAGAGCTCTGTAATATAAACAACATCATTTCAGAGATCCAAATGAATGGGGCCATGGGCATGAAGGAAAAGCCAGCAGAAATCAGAGTCATGTTAGCTTATAGGTGAGAAGTTGCAATCCTGATTAGTGATGGCTATTTTGGAGAGAATAAAGCCAACAAGTTGATTGGTTAGATGACTGGAAAACTGAGGAATGTTTGATTAGCTGAAGCATTTTCTATGCTTTCCAATTTGGGCAATGGGGTGTCCCTTTTCTGTAAAGATGGTGCTACTAACCCTTTATAGTGTGTACTCTGAATACTTCTCAGAATGGGGTAGGTTTGTGTTCATTTTATCCTCATATCCAAAGGTATATATATATATTTTTTAAGATTTTATTTCTTTATTTGACAGGGGTGGGGAGGAGAGGGAGTACAAGCGGGCAGAGCGAGAGGGAGAAGCAGGCTCCCCCCCCGCCCCCCGCCGAGCAGGGAGCCCAATGTGGGACTTGATCCTAGGACCCTGGGATCATGACCTGAGCCGAAGGCAGACGTTTAACCGACTGAACCACCACGCAGGCCCCCCGAAAAGTACATATTTTATATTACTGTTTATAGGACATGACTGGAGTATCTAACCACTAGCCTCATTAGCCCTCTGCTAACAAGTGTTTATAAGAACAGCCAAAAGATATGCCCTACCCAAGTCCCTCTGACAGATGCCAGAAAACAATTTAAAACCTTTCTTTCACTATCCAATCTCTTTTTCAAAATCTGTCTAGAAGACAGATAAGGAAAAGGAGACAAAGAAGTGAAACAATTAGCTGGTAACACAAGAGTATTTTTCCCTTATGACTACCACCACCACAAAAGAGAAGGAAAAAAGCTCTAACTCTGACCCATTAAGTTCCATCCAAATGTTTGTTATTTGAGTAACAGCTGCTGGAAACTGAGCTGTCCCTACCTAGAGATGTAGATGCTTATGACATCAAAACTTCTCACTATCATATTATCCAGCAATCCCACTTCTGGGTATAAATCCAAAAGAACTGAAATCAGGATCTGGAAGAGATGTCTGCACTCCCATGTTCATTGCAGCACTATTTACAATAGCCAAGATAATGGAATCAACCCAGATGTCCAACAATAGACCAATGGTTAAAGAAAAAGTGATATATACATACAATGGAATATTATTCAACCTGAAAAAAGGAAGTCCTAAGTGAAATAAGCCAGTCACAGAAAGATGGATACTACATGATTCCACTTATTTGAGGTGTCTAAAATAATCAAACTCACAGTAGCAGAGAGTAGAATGGTGGTTGCCAAGGGGCTAAGGAAGAGGAATAAATGGAGAATTTTTATTTAATAGGTATAAAGTTTCAGTATTATAAGATGAAAAAGTTATAGAGATCTGCTGTGCCACATAGTGTCTACTGTTAACAATATTCTATTGTGCATTTAAAATTTTTGTTAGGAGGGCAGATCTCATGTTAAATGTTCTTACCACAAAACAAATAGACAACAACAACAAAAAATGCAAAGAGGCACAAGGAAACTTTTGGAGGTGACAGATTGGTTTAGTGATGCTAACAGTGCTGGTTTCACAGGTGTGTGCATATGTCCAAATTCATCAGATTGTATATATTAACTATGTGCAGTTTTTTGTTTATCAATTATATCTCAATAAAGTCTTAAATAAATGACAAACTTCTCACTACTAATGGCTGAAACTTAATCATGTATAACCACTCTGTGGCTATCCTAGTTGACTGCTACTTTGATTTATCAAAGCTGAAACTATGTTTCAACCCAATGAATACCCGCAGAGATTAAGAGTTTTAGAGTGCAAATAAATGAAAGTAAAGCTCAGACTATTCCTGGTAACTGCCTTCTCCTGGTTTATTTCCTTCTTACTTTTTTCCTATCCTGATCCTTTGCCTACTTTGGTTTTCCTTCTTACAACCAAATCTCATCGTCCATTATCCCTCGCTCTTCCTCTTTTAGAAAATAAACAGAAACCAAATATTTAAAACTACTTTTTAAATCCTGCAAATGCAAAAATCTCTTTATTTCTTACTCCCTTGCATTTTGGAGGGGGGAAAATAAGAACAAGATTTATAAGATTTATTTTAGTCGCGGGGGGAGAGAATCTATTTCTTACTCCCTTGCATTTTGGAGGGGGAAAAAATAAGAACAAGATAAGTAAGATTTATTTTAGTCGGGGGGAGAATCTCAAGCAGACTCCCCGCTGAGCACAGAGCCTAACATGCGATTTCATGACCCGGAGATCATGACCTGAGCCCAAATCAAGAGTTGGACCCTTAGCCAACTGAGACACCCAGGCACCCTGGGAAAAAACATTTACTTTTCATTTGTGTTTTTTAAAAATCAGGTTACAAAATACTCGAAGACTTCTAAAAGTCATTATCAGAAAAGGCATAATGAAAAAAATAAAACATCTGAAGGAATTAATGTAGAAATCAAAACTGTATTCAATTCTCCCAAATTCTCATATCACAACAGATAATAACATAGGTAATATTAAGCATATTAAAAGTGGCTTTTCATTGCCACAGTGTATACAATTAATCCAAATTACACAGTTAAGATTTTAAAGTTTTCATTCCTATAAATATTTCAGCATGTTTACATGAGCTCTTTTAAAATAGCTTCTAAAAAGGAGGTCCTGTAATGACTTGCACTCCTAAAGTTATTTTAAGATTTTATTGCATACTTATTAATTGCAATGTAATTCATTAAGATACAAGGTATCAATTTAAGTGTGCTGGTAGCATTGAAAATAATTGGTTCATGGAACAAGTATTTACTTGCAAACAACATATTTAGTTCCAAATTAAATTCTAATACTAAAGGAAGACAAAGGATATTTCAAGTTCTTTCCTCTACTTTCTGGGGTACTTGGTAATTCCAGTTCCTGAATTGTTCCTGGGTTCTGCAGCATGAACTGTCTTGCTTACTAACTATAAAGGACTTATTCCAAGAATGAAAGAATATTTAGGAATTCTATTAATATAACTTAGCACATTAGGTCAAATGAGAAAAACCATAAGATTATCTAAATAGATGCTAAAAAGGATTTGATAAAATTAATGTTTTTAGTAAACTAGGATTAAAAGATGCTTCCTTTATTTACTCCTTAAATGGGCTTTTACATATATATACATAGTACTCAAGTTGGTAGGCCCTTACCTCAAGTTGGCCTTGCCTGAATTTCATATTGAACAAAACCCTCCAGTATTTCTTCTAGCATGAGGATCCCACTTTATAATGCAGATACCAATTCTCTTTTATTTTCCTTCTTTCCCTCCTTCCTCCCTTCTTAAAAGTCCCTTTGGCCATTTCAGTAGGAATTTTGAAGAGGATAATGTCAAACTCATATTTTTGCATTAGAAGTGCCAAATCCAAATCTTAACTAAATTGAGTTCATATCCTGGTTCTGCCACCTACGAGCCATGTGATGTTGAACGTTACTTAATCTCCCTGAGCTCATCCATAAATACAGGCACAACAATAGCATCTATCTAATAGGGTCACTGGAAAGATTACATGAAAATATAGGAAAAGCACTTGGCATGACTTAGCTACTGATGTTACTCTGCTGCTGCTGTTGTTGTTAATAATACGATAGTAATAATAATCTCCCTACTAGATGTAAAAGGCTTATAAATTTGCATTAAATTCTCTTTCAAAGAAACTTTTGCTATCTAGGGAAATTTTGCTTCTATAAAATTTTAAGTGTTTCACTTCTAGAGACAACTTTGTATTTCCTATATAACTCTGAAGTATTGAGCTCTCAGTGAGTCATTCGTTACTATTTATTGTACCCTTACTGTGTATTAAGCAATTTTCTGGGTGCTGAATTAGCTACAGTAAAACTCTAAACAAAAAGGGAAAGATAACTGAACAGGTTCCATAATTGTTTTTGTGTTTTAGGGATACAAAACCCACAAAAATAAGGATATGGCTCTGTGGAAATATGCTCCTTTGGCTAAGTATTGTTTGGAGAAAAACAGGGGCTGAGATTGTTGGTAAGGAAAACACATCCATATATAACAAGAAGTCTCAATCCAGAACAGCTTCTAAGCAACAATTATAGTAATAAAATGTTGCAATCTTTATATGGAATGTATGATGCAAGGACTCATGTACTAAGAAGGATGTTTTGAAGAGTGTTAAAATCTAACTTGTGCAGTTGCCTAACAATCTGCAAGCAGAAGTCTTAAGAAATAATCCTGCAAGAGTCAAAACCTGTTGCTACTGTTAAGTGTCTTTTATTCTAGTTATAGTTTATGTGATTTTTAAGAAGCAGAAAACACTATTACATTTCTTTTATCTTTTATTTTTTCATTTATATTTCCTCCCTCAACCTTTTTGGGGGGTTCTAAGTGAACAGAATGCAGTTGTTCTTAAAAAAACAAACAAACAAAACACTAGAGATTTTGAAAATATACTAATAGACACCAAACCATAAAATATGTGTGTACCTTAAAGCCTGGTGAACACTTTGGGACTAAGAGCTTTTAACCGTTTAAAGGCCAAGGCAATGGGCGCCTGGGTGGCTCAGTTGGTTAAGCGACTGCCTTCGGCTCAGGTCATGATCCTGGAGTCCTGGGATCCAGTCCCGCGTCAGGCTCCCTGCTCAGCAGGGAGTCTGCTTCTCCCTCTGACCCTCTTCCCTCTCGTGCTCTCTATCTCTCATTCTCTCTCTCTCTCTCAAATAAATAAAATCTTTAAAAAAAATAAAAAAATAAAAAAATAAAGGCCAAGGCAAGACGTAGGTCTAATTTATCCTGACACTTACGTGCAGCTGGACTGACAAAGCAATTTCACAGTTTAATGATGACCTAAGTGAGATAACCCTCTCTGCAGTCCCTAACCCCAATTACACATTTAAAAACCTTTTTCCTCCCTCCCTTCCCCCCTTCTTCCCTCTTTCCATTACATCCCTATGACTTACTTATTTTTATAACTGGAAGTTTGTGCCTTTTGAGTCCCTTTACCCATTT